CCTCTCGTTCCTTTGCCAGATATGCGGAGGATGACTGCCCCATGGATTCTTATGCTGACGTTGTTAGCAGCATGCATCTTCATAGTCACTGGGATCAAATGTTTCTCTGAGATGCCAAGCCGATGTAGCACCTTAATGCCGGCTAGGCAGCTTTGGCAACCTGTGTCAGCCATGGCGGTGATGGTAGCTGTCTTTGGTTTCGGTGTGATCTTTGGGTCAATGCCGAAGTGGTCATAGTCTTTAGGGTCAACACGAGCAGTCACATGCATAAAAGGCTGAGGCTGTGACGGCTGGCGAATCCAAGTGTCTGATAGCTGATTGTAAAGATGATGATCAAGTTGAACAACATTTCTACCATAGTTATTGTCATGACTGGTTGCGGCGCAAAGTGAATCAAACACAGCACTTTCCTGTTCAGTCTTAGTGTTTGTCACATTTTGTTTGCCTCTGCATACAGACTCAAAGTGGTTCATTCGCTTGCAATTGTTGCATGTATGACCATATGCAGGGCACTCTTTTTTGCGAGTTTGTGGCGTTGCTTTGGAACCATGACCTTTATTTCCACAATAGGTGCACAGTGTCTCTTGTTTTTCAGTTTTCTTAGTCACTATACGAGCGGCACTCTTATTGCGGCGATATGAACTGCTAGCTGCTTCTGCTCCTTGAGAAACAAGTAGTTTAGATGCAGAACGTTTACCCGATTCTTTGGCTTCAACGAATTGAAATGTTTGTTCAAGTGTCATGTTTTGATTTCTTTCCCCAAGGAGATCAAGTTGAATCTCAGAGTCGTTGAGTCCACGAATACGCACATCACGTAAGATTGCGTCAGTATAGTTGACTTCGTTGTTGCAGCTGGGACATGGTATTAAAAACTTGCACACACCTGCTTGTCCGCGTAGTCGAGCCCCAAATGAGCGCACAGTTTCTTCACGGTCTTGTGTCATGTTGTTCAGTGCTACCCGAGCTACCATGGTATTCTCTTCACGCACAGCTAGGATCCTGATGGCTGTTAATACATCTTCTTGAGACTTATCCGTCAGCGAGCCACCAGCTGATCTTGTGAGGTCTCTCCGTAGATTCTCATCGCAACACTCAAGAAGCTGTATAACATGTTCCTTTTCCTTTATTTTAGCGGCTTCTACGTAGTCTTTCCATCGTGAGAGGAAGTATGACCAATCTTCACTCGTGCCAGCGGATGTAATGGTGGGCCGTTTGACTTTTTCCACTTTATTACAGCTTGCAGAAGTCGAGACTGCTGTGTGTACTAGCCCATGGGTAGTCAAAAGTGCAGCAACGATTGCAGCATCTAAGTCATCTGTTTCAAAGTCACAGTCTGGGATTGGACACTTCACTGAAGGCATCTTGTTTGTGTAGTTGTTGCTGTTATGTGTTGTTAGTGGTCTCTCAGTGGATTGAATCCTCCATCATAGATAAGTAGGCCGATACTATTTCCAGATAACTTTATTATCCAAAATGATGGAGGTCTGAAACATACAAAAAGTAACATTGTAAATAAAATCAACTATCTGTTGGTAATACATAAGTAATAGACTAACAAGTAAATACATAATCCTCTAACATCATGTAACTATATATTGTAATTTATTTTAACCGTATGTGTAGTCTCTGTGAGTTGAAAAGGTATAAGAGTTATTTCCCTTATATTAAGTTAATTATTAAGTTAATGTGTACGTGTGCATGTGATTTGTGATACGTGATTTGTACGTGTGAATGTGATACGTGTATATCAGGTTTTAAATATTGTTATTTATGCTTGTTGCAAAGTTTGCTTGTACGTATAAAATACTGGTAATAAAGGACAGAGAAATCTAAACAAGTGGAGTTTTATTTCAAACGCCAATCCACCTCTGTTACAATAGCACGATGGGAGATGTCTAATCTAAAACCAAAAGCAAATAATCATTGCAACACTAAAGCGAAACTAAATCATATGTACTTACCAATGGATGTCAGCAGAATTTCTGTTGTCATTATATACATATGTATATCAAAGATACTATACAGTGTGTAGATGTATCCTACGTTGAAAATATGGTTTTATCTCATTCGGTTTTAACAGGGCATTATCAACTGAAATATAAAAAGTATTAATACCGTGTGCAAGGTGTGCACACTTAGCCACACAAATATTTTTGATTTCTAATGAATATCGGATATATACGCGGTAGCATTGTAAACATACAGTAATATATAATACAATTATAGACACACACACACACACACCCTCACACACACACACACACACACACACACACATATGTTCACCATAATCAAAACCATGATCTGTCGACCTTGAAGATCGAATCATGATATTTACCAGCAATATTTAATGTATATTTTACTATGCTATATAAAGTTACCTCTTTGTTATCATAACTTTACCCGACTACTTCTAAAAATATCGATGGGGGTTTCCAACATGTAGAGTCTTCCACATCATGACGTCACAACATTTTGGTATCGCAGATTGCACAGTTACGGTAACAGACACGCTGATCACGAGATCAAAAAGCTATCGATTAAATGGATGTGTTATATAACGGATTACTTCCTAATTCTGATGTTTATATTAGCTTTTCAGATTGATATTTCAAGTTTTCAAGATTCAAAACCGAAAGTAGACTGACTTGACAGCTCATCGACATTTCTCAACACTGAATTTAGACTCGCTGTGAGTGCTAATGTACGTTATCTTATCCAAAGTGTCAATGGATCTCGTACGTAGAATTTTATCTGTACGAATTTGACCGAAGTTGTAATTGAAAATAAAAGTCATATGTTGTTCTAAAAAATATTTATAATTTGTTAGAACACCATGGTGGCATTTTTGATCCCCACCTAGGACCAAATGTCTTCTCATGTAAAATTTGTTGTTCATGCTTGAAACTCTTATGTTTCAAGTTCGTCGTTTATGTATTAGTAAACGGCCAATTTCAATAAAATCTTATCTTTTGTCTTGTCTTTTATGCTTACACATTTGGTCCAACTAGCTTGCCCTCACGACGGTCATATATAATGTACGTTATCTTATCCAAAGTGTCAATGGATCTGGTACATAGAATTTTATCTGTACGAATTTGACCGAAGTTATAACTGAAAATAAAAGTCATATATCATATTCATATAAATCATTTATATCATTTATAGATATCAATTACATATCTAGTTTATCACGTTATATTGCTGTTACCATAACGATGACGTCACAATATTATGGTATAGCAGATCACGTGCGTTTTTAACCAACCGCGGTCATTGTAACAGACCGAAATGGGATTGATGATAAAGGCAAGTTTTTCACGTCCAGATTTTTGAGTAATTTTTTTCTGATTCTATCGTTGTTTATGTAAGTTTTTCACTTGTGATAACATGTGTATATCGTTCTGTTAATGACATTTAAGGTTGTAAATGGTGGTGGTATTCAACATAGATATCTAATCGTATTCAACCACTTCTAAAACGAAAGTAGACTGACAGCTCATCGACATCTCAACTATAAATTTAGAGTCACTGAGAGTGCGTATGTTATATAATCAACAGTGTTTATTGTTACGACTATCGAGGATTTAAGGGTTAGACAAAGTGGGCCTATCGGCCTATTTTGGTTTTGATTTTAGGTGGTATGTGTTTAGTAGTAAATAGTCTTGGTGTCAGATGTTTATGCGTAACTCACAAGTTCTGTTATTTGGTTTGCCTAAGTTGCGGTATAGATTTTGTTTTTGGCTTGTATATGTGTTAATTGGGTTATGTTTAGTCATACTGCCCTTCGTCCAGCGTTGAATTTATTGCTCTGTAATAAAGTCTTATCGAGAGCTATTTATCCCCATTGTTCTACCAATTATTGCTCTGTATAAAGTCTTATCGAGAGCTATTTATCCCCATTGTTCTACCTATTATTGCTCTGTATAAAGTATTATCGAGAGCTATTTATCCCCATTGTTCTACCTATTATTGCTCTGTAATAAAGTCTTATCGAAGGCTGTTTATCCCCATTGTTCTACCTATTATTGCTCTGTATAAAGTCTTATCGAGAGCTATTTATCCCCATTGTTCTACGTATTATTGCTCTGTAATAAAGTCTTATCGAAGGCTGTTTATCCCCATTGTTCTACCTATTATTGCTCTGTATAAAGTCTTATCGAGAGCTATTTATCCCCATTGTTCTACCTATTATTGCTCTGTAATAAAGTCTTATCGAGAGCTATTTATCCCCATTGTTCTACGTATTATTGCTCTGTAATAAAGTCTTATCGGAGGCTGTTTATCCCCATTGTTCTACCTATTATTGCTCTGTATAAAGTCTTATCGAGAGCTATTTATCCCCATTGTTCTACCTATTATTGCTCTGTATAAAGTATTATCGAGAGCTATTTATCCCCATTGTTCTACCTATTATTGCTCTGTAATAAAGTCTTATCGAAGGCTGTTTATCCCCATTGTTCTACCTATTATTGCTCTGTATAAAGTCTTATCGAGAGCTATTTATCCCCATTGTTCTACCTATTATTGCTCTGTAATAAAGTCTTATCGAGAGCTATTTATCCCCATTGTTCTACGTATTATTGCTCTGTAATAAAGTCTTATCGAGAGCTATTTATCCCCATTGTTCTACGTATTATTGCTCTGTAATAAAGTCTTATCGGGAGCTATTTATCCCCATTGTTCTACGTATTATTGCTCTGTAATAGTCTTATCGAGAGCTATCTCTCCCCGTTGTTCTACCTATCCGGGTTTCAGAAGCTACCAGCCAGTGTACAAAACCCGAATCCGACTGATCATCAGTCCATGACCGTTGTATCTTGAGATTCCCGTTAATATGTAACCTGTACTGAGCGTTGGGCATTGTAGTTTTGTAAGTTGGTATATGGCGTATATTTGTTTGAAAGAGTTATCTCCCTTGTGATGCTTGTTTTTTTTTTTTTTAATGTGATCTGTGTAGTTTGTGTAGGCTCGATGTTATAGAAGGGAAGTTCGCATGCATGGAGAGTAACATATCCAACATCAAACAAGAACTCAGAATCCATAGCGAAAAACTGGAAGGGGCCGATCTTGATCACACCATTCTAGAAGAAAGAATCAGTAAGGTGGAAAGTGAGAGAGATCGGTTGTGGGAGGAATGTGACTATCAGAGGGAGAAAATCATTGAACTCCAGACGAGGTCTATGAAGGACAACTTGCTGATTGGTGGTATACCCGAGACCAATGAGGCTACGGATGATCCCGAAGCCCTATTGAAGAACTTTATCAAGACTGAGTTGGGTGTAGAAAACGACATCAACTTCCAGCTTGTCCATCGAATAAGAAGACGGTCAGACGGCAAGCCACGTTCTATGATAGCGAAATTCACTTCACGGAAAGACCGCGATATGGTCTTGAATGCTGCCCCCGTTAAGCTAGTCGGTAAGCCCCAATTCACTGTCAACGAGCAATACCCCCCTGAGGTAAATGAAAGAAGGAGAATCCTGTACCCTGTGTTCAAAGAAGCTCGTAGGCGCGGCCAAACGGCTCGTATGAAAGTCGACAAGTTGTACATCGATGGATATCTGTACAACCCACCTACTCACGACCCTTCCCGAAACGATGGCCCACGGGATCGCTTTGGTGATCATTCCAGATCCCAGGACCAACGATGGACCAGTCAGCCACCCAATAGGCACAACTATCATGGTCCACCAGCGCCCCCTAGTGGACATCAGCATGACAGCCAGTGACTGACTGGCTGTCATGCTGGCATCTGATGGGCAGGGCCCACGAAACCCTCGCAACAACCGTCTGTAGGGAGACGCTACGAGAAGTCTAACCAATGACCAAGACTGTACAAACGAACTTAAATTTACTTTTTTTTACATGTAAGTGGTTTAAAATCAAAACTTGATTTACCAGAATTTGTTACACTGATAAAATCTAATGATATCTTAATATTTGTTGAAAGTAAGACTGATGACCTTGATGTACTGAAGGTACCATCTGAATATACGTATTATGCAAAATATCGTCTCAAATGCAGGGAAAAGTCTGGTGGTATTGTCATTATATATAAAAAGAAGTTGAAACCTTTGTTACATTTTTACAATACTGAGTCCGATTATATACAATGGGTAAAGCTTACAAAATCTGCTCTAGGTTTAGAACGCGATTTGATATTAGGGTGTACATATATTCCACCCGAGAACTCTAGATATTCTTCCCTAGATGCATTTAATGAAATTGAAAAGGAAATGATTGAATTACAAAATCCTGAATGTAATATAGCTTTAATTGGTGATTTTAATGCAAAAACCAAAAACCTACAGGATTTCATAGAACCTGATGACTCCCTCATGAATATGTTTGATATTGACAAAAATGATGATGTTTTCAACTATATGTATGATTTTGAAAAACTAACACAATTTGGTGTTCCTTTAGTGAGAACGAGTCAATGTAAATGTAATGTGAACAACTTTGGCAAGAAGTTACTCGAATTGTGTAAACAAAATAATATGTACATTGCAAACGGTAGACTTGGAAGAGACAAATCAATAGGAAAAACTACTTGCAATGACACAATCTGAGCCTTGTTATAATCCTGTCTTTTTTGTGTTTGTCCGAAAAGTTTTGGGTTTTTGTAGGTTTTGTTACTACTCTCCTTAGTTTATCATAACTGCTGATGTTCGTCCAAAGGTTTGTCCACGATAGATTAATGGATTTATTTATGATCATCTTTGCAAAGAAGTTATTATCTAGAGATTTCTTTGCTAATTTATCTGCCATATCATTCCCTGGTATGTCTACATGTGCTGGTATGTATTCTAAGTCTACTGGTATGTTTTGTTTGTGTAGATTGCCTAGTGTGTTCATGATTGAGTGTATTTCTGTGGGCCTAGTGCTATTTCCTGTCTCTATCGAGTGTGATGATGAGAGACTGTCTGTGAGTATTACTGCACCGCCTGGGGGTTTGATGTCATCTACATGTCTTAGATCTAACCCTATTGCTATTATATCACAGGTATAGACTGAGCGTCTGTCTGTAAGTCTGATGGATAGTGTGATGCCTAATTCTGGAGAGTATTTACGGCTGTATCCCTATTTGCCCACTTTTGAAATAACATGGACAAAAGAATGTTGTGATAAGGATTATAGTCTATTTCATATTAATTTACCTCTGTTTACCTGTGTTGTTACCCGTATTTTACCTATGGTCACCTGTGCCATCTAGCCTATTAAATGATAGCTATTCTATTGAGTTTTTAAAAATATATAAAATAATAAGCATTTCATTTTATTTCTTTATGTTGATATATACGTCACTGAAAATTTTAACAAATTAAAGACTTTTTCTTCTTAAATATATAAATTTCAATTTATTTTGATTTATTATCATTTAATAGAGGAGGTTAAAATTCACTAAAATATTACATTATATCAGTATTAAAGTTTTACATCTTTGATAAATTTGTCAGACTTGAATATATATATTAAGGGCCCCATATTAAGTAAATTGATAATGATGATGAAATAGTTTAGGATGTTAATCATTATGTATAATTAAACAAAATATCCATTGGTATTAATTGTATTCATTTTTCATTATCCCTATACAAATCATTTTATGTTTTCTAAATGTAAGTATACTTACCTTATTTAATTACCCAAGCCATCGACCTCAAATACAAACAATTATAAGATGATCTCAGAAGTGGTGACGATAGTGCAGATAGTGAACACTGTTCCATGTACACACATAATCATTATGCAGTTACACAGCTGATACATTCTCCGGAATTTTATCTGAGATTGTTTACCTTACAACTTCGAGACAACTACCCACTTCGAGACATCTACCGACATCTACCCACTTCGAGACAACTACTTACAACTTTGAGACATGGCCAATGCACAGATACAAGTCAAGTTTTTTAGAAACAAGCCTGGTGGACTCAATCTTGCATATGATGGAGTTAAGGATGTTTGGTTCAACGCGCTGGAGGAACTGGAAGATGTTGACTTACCCGTAGACACTACGCCCTTTACAGATTATGTCGTTTCACAGTGGTTGAGGGAGACCGCCGTATCTGAAACCACTTCACCACAGAGGGACCTAGCACCACCAACCATCTAGAAGCCTGGCATGGGAAGCTGAAGAAGAAGGTATACCACTCACACCTCAACATATACACCATCATCAAAGTGTTCCAGGAGATTCAAGCCGCCAACGAAATCAACAGGATACAGCGTGATGCAGGAGGAACAACAAGACCACGTGCGAAGAGATATCGAAGCATCGACAAAAGACTGGCCCAACTTAAGGAGCGATTCCAGACTCAGAGGATCAACATCATGGTGTACGCCGACGCAGCATCACATCTTCTACACCTGGGATGAATTGCTGGACTTTTATTTTATTTATATGTATGTATACATGTATACTTTTTGTGTGTTTTATTGTATTTATATGTATAAGAAATTATAAACTTTCTGCTTTGGTATGTATTTATATGTATGTAATGTGTAATGATAAACTTTCTGCTTTGGTATGTATTTATATGTATGTAATGTGTAATGATGTATGTAATGTGTAATGATAAACTTTCTGCTTTGGTATGTATTTATATGTATGTAATGTGTAATGATGTATGTAATGTGTAATGATAAACTTTCTGCTTTGGTATGTATTTATATGTATGTAATGTGTAATGATAAACTTTCTGCTTTGGTATGTATTTATATGTATGTAATGTGTAATGATGTATGTAATGTGTAATGATAAACTTTCTGCTTTGGTATGTATTTATATGTATGTAATGTGTAATGATAAACTTTCTGCTTTGGTATGTATTTATATGTATGTAATGTGTAATGATGTATGTAATGTGTAATGATGTATGTAATGTGTAATGATGTATGTGATGTGTAATGATAAACTTTCTGCTTTGGTATGTATTTATATGTATGTAATGTGTAATGATGTATGTAATGTGTAATGATGTATGTAATGTGTAATGATAAACTTTCTGCTTTGGTATGTATTTATATGTATGTAATGTGTAATGATGTATGTAATGTGTAATGATAAACTTTCTGCTTTGGTATGTATTTATATGTATGTAATGTGTAATGATAAACTTTCTGCTTTGGTATGTATTTGTATGTATGTGATGTGTAATGATAAACTTTCTGCTTTGCATGTTTAATTTTATATATATGTATGTAATGAAAATGCAATAAAAAGTACTTAGTGTAGACTACAGGTAGAATCTCTGGTAATAGCTCACACAGGTAAAAACACAGGTAAATGAACTCAGGTGAAATCTATGATTAATCTAAAACGGACTATAATTGGTTTTCTATTGTCTTCCTAAAACAACACCTTTCTTTGTTAAAAAAGTGGACAAGTCGGGAACACCCCGTATTTACCTAGTCCTACTCTATCTGTTTTGGGTTTTTTTTTATCCATCAGTGTATATCTTAATGCGTTTTCTGTATTTTTGATCGATTGTGGAAAGTGCATGTTTTTAGCTCCTGTATTCCCACTTATCCCATATTCTATTTTTACAGATAAAAAATGTGGGCTAGACGGAACTGGTGTGTGTTTAAGAAAAATGGGTTTTAATTGCCCTGAAAGTATAGTCTCTTTCATAAAAATCAGTATAGTTTACCTGATATATGTATATAAGGGTGACTTTCTGATATTTTCTTATACATCTTTTAACTTAAATGCATTGCACAAATATTTCACCAAAATATAAATATTCTCACTTTAACAGCAATATTGAAATAAAAAGCACAGTAAAACAATATGCAAAATATTTATACTCATCCTTTTTATTTCGATATCAAAATATATAAATTTATGATAAACAAAGATTTTTTGCTCATTTTAATTCAAATGTCATTCATTAAAAAAACACATCACAGAACATATCATACTAAAATTGAAACATATACAACATTTTATTGTCATTTGATTTAAAAGTCATTACACATACAGCACTGTCTGAGGCTGTGTTGAAAACCTGGGAGCCATAATCAATTATTGATCTGATCAATACTCTATAGAGTTTAAGTAGGTTTCTTTTGTTGGTTCCCCAATTTTTCCCTGAGATATAAAAGATTCTGTTTAAAGTTTTTGCACATCTGTTTTTTTTACATATTTAATGCGAGAAATCCATGTTAGTTTGCGGTCAAAAATCTTTCCTAAATACTTAGTTTCTTTAACAAATTTGATTTCGGATTCCCCCAAAAAGAGTAATAAATTTGATTCGCCTCGAAAATAACATGGCAACTGTTTTTTCTTTAGAAATTTTGAAATCCCAGATACCCGCCCATTCTAGTATTGTGTCTAGTGTTCTTTGTACAATGCTTCGTGTTTTTTCAATGTTGTTCTCTGTGAGTCAAACACTGATGTCATCTGCAAACTGTCCTACTGTTCCTATGTTATATTTATGTCTAACTTCTGTTAGTTTTTTATCAAGTTTATTTATATAAATATTGAATAGGGTTGGGGATATTACCTTAGAGTACTCCGTTATCTAGTATATGTTCATTGGAGTTTTTATTGTTTACTCTCACTTTAATTGTTCTATCCTTAAGAAAAGTTGTGATAAATCTTAAAATATTTCCGGTTATGTTAAGGGATAGCAAAAGACCCTCGTGCCAAACTAGGTCGTATGCTTTTTCTAGATCGAGGAATACTGCTAGAGTGTGTCTATGATTACTTAATGAATTTTTTTTATATCTGACGATAGCCTGATTAAGGAATCAAGTGTGGACATCCGGTTCCGGAATCCACTTTGATTCTGACTGATTATATTATTTGCCATAAGGTAGCGTTTAAGACTATTGTTTATCATCGTTGCTATTGTCTTACAGAGGTGGAAGGTTAGTGCTATAGACCTATAGGAAGCCGGGTCTTCTTTATCCTTACCAGGTTTTAGAATGGGGATTACTTCAGCATTATTCCAGGATTTGGGGTATTTTCATGTTTTCCAGTTAGTGTTTATGTATTCTATAATAATCATATTTATATTGTGTGGAATTTTTTTTAAGATAGTATATGACTGTTTGTCTATGCCTGGTGTGGTACTTTTCTGTTGTTTTAAAGCCTTATGGTATTCATTTAAGGTGAAGGGGAGACTAAGATCAGTATTGTTGGGACCCGGATCAGCTAGAGCAGTAAGGATATCCTTGATGGTAGGTATGTTAGCAAAAAAACCGCGAGCGTCCTAGCTGAGAACAGACAGGGCGTCCTGCGGTCCGACTACCTGTCTGTTCTGTCATTATAGGTGTTTATTATAGTGTGTTTTTGGGAGGATTAGTGATTGTTTGTTAACATTTGTAGTTGAGCTTTTGTTTTGCTCTTCCAGATGTTCTGAGGGCCTTTGTGGTGTATTTGGTGGTTGTTTTTTGTTTTTTTGGTTTGTGGTTGATGGTGATTGTCGTATAAGGGGTATGTTTATGGGTGTTTTCGGGGTTGATTGTGTGCATGTTGTTAATGGGGATTCAGTAGACTGTGAATGGGGTAACTTATGTGTTGTGTCTCGTTTTGTACTGTTTTCCTTCTCTAGGGTGGGTGTGGGGCTGGTTGTTGGTGTTCATCAAATCTGATTTAGTGTATTGATTATGTTAGAAATAGGAGGTAATTAACAATGAAATACAATTAACCCCACTACTAAACAGAAAATAATTTACTTCTAAGAAAATCACAAACTAGAGTCGTGTCTGTCAAGTACAGTTTAAATCACTTTTTCTTAATGTAATTAAAAGATAACATATTCTTCTATAAAATAAGAACTGGCAGTAACCATTCACAATTTTTTAGCCGTTACCATAATCTTAAACAGGCTACGAATCATTTGAAAATGTACTATCATAGCCAGAAAATATATATAAATATATAAAAAATGTCGCGTAGTTCTTCTCTAAACCAGCAAGCCAGGAACTCCTATCACATACACAATAGATTAATGTACAGATGAACTCAACTGAAAATCAGTGCACTAAAGCCACAGGATCATTAATTCATGCATGAGTTTTGCTTGATAGCATATTCGATTTTTAGCGATACAAATTTCAACGAAATAGATTTTAACAATTTAAAGTAACTCGCCAAATTAGCTTTAATTCGCACCCCGCTCAAATAACCCGACTATTCGGTATGTGACCATATATGATAAGAATCATATATATTTTCTTGAATTATACTTCTTCTCCAGGTGTGAAGTATGGAATTTGAAGAGAGCCTTCCCCCTGAGCTGGTTTCTTTAAAGCGAGAACTGTCTTGTATATTTCCTAACTTAAGTGATGACGTAATCTACGATACTGTCTTTGATCACAGAAACAAAAATGACATAGATCGGTGTATTCAACATCTGTTGGACTATTGTATAGATACCAGGCACCCGACTGATGATAAAGGTAAAACGAATTTCAATGATTATATAACACAATCACATAAATGCACCGTTACCCCATCACATATATTTCCTGGCATACGTGTAATATGTATCTTTCAACGTTTGTTAACGTCGATTTTGACTTTCCGTAAAATCTGTCTCTAATTTTGCACACACCTGGACATAGTATCATTACCGAGTCCTAGAAAACCGGGACATCTGTGAAGCAGTTTTATTAACTATATGTATTTGGCCTAGAGTGTGACTACAATGTGAAAGATCTCGTTTTATGTTGCTTGAGTATTCTTTACCATAAGTGTACTGTAAAATATTGCATTGAAGATCATGTTTCCTTTCTACAAATAGCGTACCTCGAAGATCTACAGGCTCTGCCTTGTTCAATTGGTGCCATATCAATTCAAGACTTGGAGCAACAGTCGAAGCCAGTTTTGCAAGGTAATTAGCGCGTAATGTATAACTAGATAAATACAAATTGGTTTATTATTTACGACCAAGTCTCGATATCTCGAACTTTTATTGAAAATTGATTACCATTCTACTAAGTCTCGATTTCCCGAACTTTCATTCAGCACTGATTACAATTCTACCAACTCTCGATTTACTGAATGTTCATCTAACATTGATTACCATTCTAACAAGCTTCCAGTCCACTTCTTTTTATTGAGACTGCGATTTGACGAATGTCTCCTTCATTTTGTCTACCAGGCCGCGTTTTTCAAAACAATCAATTGATCGGGCGAGGGAAAATCTACTGAATTATGAAGTCTTAGTTTATGCATTCGATGGTCATTCTGTTATTTTAATGTAGGAAACTACTTTTATGCCAGTTTTATACAGTATGCTATTCAAAACGTCAGATCTGGTGCGGGCTCTCAGAAAATTTCGGAGTCAAAATGAAGGGGTGTATTGCGAAAAAAGTATCTTTCTGAATTGTGGTAAAACGGACAAAATAACACTCGTTCTTTATCCCTTAATTAAAGTGTCATTTTTACTTTAAATTCGCTATAAATTTTAAGGACGCCAAAGTGCAGAGGACAGGCAGTCCAAAAGAATTGTGGTCATCGGAAAAACGGGATCTGGGAAGAGCTGTACATGTAACACCCTTCTAGGTAAAGAGTCGTTCAAGACTTCCTTTGCAGCATTGTCAGTGACTGAGAAATGTCAATCAACTAAAGTTGAAAGATTTGGACAATCAATCCTATTGATCGATACTCCGGGAGTGTTCGATACAAATGTGCCAAACGTGACAATCCTGTCAGAAATTGCGAAATGTATCAGCATGTCCCTACCTGGACCTCATGTATTTCTACTTGTCATCCAGGCAGGGAGGTTCACGCCGGAGGAAAGCCACACTGTCAACCATGTTGCGAAAGTTTTCGGAGAAGGCATGTTCAAACACACAATCGTGGTGTTCAACGGAAAAGATAACTTAGAAAAACAACACAAGTCATTAGAGAAGTTTTTGCAGTCGATACCGCCTTCACTGGAGGAAATTATAGAGAAATGCAACAGGCGTTGTATTGCTGTTGATAACGGTCAGGAAAATGCTTTCCGTGACGATGACGCTAAGAAACTGATGGAACACATCAACGTTCTTGTGGAGGAACATCACGGTGGCTACTACACGAATGAGATGTTTCAGGCAGCTGAGAAGAAGTGTCGCGAAAGGGAAGAAGAAATACGGCGTCAAAAAGATTTGGAAAAACAGAAAGAAAAAGACGAAATGAAAAAGCAGCTAAAGAAACAGTTTCAAAAGAAATTAAATCGTTGGGAAACTGAAAAAAACATACTAGAGGAAAAAGTAGTTAATTGCACGAGAGAGAGACAAAACTTGGAGGAAAGGTTGCAAAACAGCAATGTGACAGATAAAGAAATGGAGGTAATCAAGAAAAAATTAAGAGATGTTGAAGAAGAAGCTGAACGATACAAAGAACAGGCTGAATATGCTAATAACGAGCGACAGATATGTTTACAAAATCGTGATCAAACTATAGCACGGCGTTCCGATGTCTTAGATAGAAAATATCAAAACGATATCAAAATAATTACCGCAATGTCAAAACCGGAAGCAGTATTAACGATATTCAAGGGAGTATTGGAAGTAGCATGGGGGGCGTGGCAATTATGGCACCTTGTGTAAGATATAGGTTGGAGGTAAATATCGGTTTGACATCATTTACTTCCTTCTCATTTCTTATCGCTTTTCTGCTATATTGACTGATTTCTATAGTAACACTACAAGAATCTAGTAGCATCCTGTATGCTTTCATTGTAAGATACTGGGTGATAATCTTGTTACAAAGAAATGATTGCTTTCCCATCATTTTTCATAAATAACTCACTTTGTCAACTTTGTGTTCAAGTGATTATTCTTTAATGAATATGGATTGAATTGTATCAAATGAAGTAAATTCATGACATCTTTATGAATATCTCGCTTCCTAGGCCACCATCAACTTTTCAATAGTTTTCTACATGATAAGCAATGAAATGTAATATGTTAATCCATAAAGTTGCTGAGTAATAACCTTCATGCTAGTCACATCAGTTGTTATCAGTGCCGTATTAAATCATTTAGTCAAAACTGATTTTTCATGCGAAAATTCGTGTCGTTGCTTTAGCTAGATACCTCTGATGTGAAGGAAATGTGGAACAGAGGACCGTACGTCACACCTCTGTGGTACAGTGTTATATCACTTTAAAAGTAAAGCTGAGGTCCCGTAGTTTCCGGACACGTTTTGTTACTTCGTGTAGATCAAAATGTTGTTGCATTAAAATCGATATTTTCAAATATAGGTGGTTTGACTGGTACTTTCATGTTAACTTCTACTTCTTGTCACCATGACAGCAATATTAACAAGTTCTTTTTTAATCGGCTTGAAATAGAAATTAATTTTACGTATTGGGGATTTCTTGCAAGTTTGTAGTTACGTGGGAGAGAATAGATATTGAAGTGAAAAAAATCAATCTTGATTTTATGAGTACCGTTAATTAGTTATGATATCAAAACAGTCGTAAATGATTAATAAAATCTGTCATCTGTAACTGAGCGAGAGCGGGGTATCTCGGTCGAAGGCTAAGATCCTGTAACATAATCCCAATAGATGCATTAGCCGAGTTTAGGATGCTACAGGATCTTAGCCAGATACTGAGATACCTCGATCTTGGTTAGTTACATGTAATAGATTTTTCGCACCTACTACTCTGAAAATTATTCAATATTTCATCAGAGATTGGCGTATCCCGTGGAAGCCTCAAACTACCCATACAGCTTCTAAAAGTACTAAAAATACTTGATAAGAATTTCTTGTCAAAAATGGAAACAAGAAACGTGAAATTAGATTTACGAAATCTAGACGTATACCATGTATAGATGTGTTGTTACGTCATTATACATTACATGAACTTTGTTCAAAAATACTTTATCACAGCAGTGAATAACACCATAGGTGTTCATTTTCTGGAACATTACAGTAAAGTCATGATTGTATCTGAATTCAATAATACGATATATTTTAGAACACATCCGCAAGTAAATGTGTCTATATATATATATATGAAAATGAAAAACATGTAGATTGGCACAAATTGTTCTGAGAATTTCGCGTAATACATTGCTTTTTTCTAAATGGTCGGTTACTCATGAAATTTGCCCAAACAGTCCCACAAGCCACACGGTCATCTCACATAGCAACTATATATTTATGAACTGAAGAAAAAGACATGTACAAGAAACAAATATTAACGTGATGTACAGTACCTGATTGTCATTGTCCATATTGTGTAAGATATTGATCTGTTTAGTCCTGTAAGAATCCGTGCCGTTGCTTTCGCTTGCCGTCGCTGTTGTGAAGGAAAGTTTTGGACAAATAATACCATTGTTGCACAGAGTTATCTCCCTGTATAATGCATGACGTGCACTTATATCCCATATCTTATCGCGCCTAATTTCAATATTATTCCTAGCAAACAACAAGAAATTAATAAAAGAAAAAAAACAAAAAACAAAAGAAATCAAAAACAAAAAACAAAAACAAAACAAAACTAGAAATTGTTGCTAACAATTTTGCGGGCTTTTCACTTTGGCGACAATCTTGGATATCGGACAGACTCCCCGAAAAACAGCACTAGTTTAAGTTAATCTCAGCTTCATTCACGGCAAACCTAAACAGAATTCCACAACCTGACCTGAGCAGTTCAAAAACATCCATTTTCAAAATGGCGGTCATGGTAGCCATCTTGGATTTCGGACCAACTTAGAAAATAACAACTCTTAGTCAGGACAAAAATTGTAGTCCTTCATTCCAGCATGCTACAAGCCTAATATCAGTTCCCCCTTGCTTTTTGTTTGATCAAAGATGTTTGAAGATTTCATATACATTTGACACCCGTGACCTTGAATGTTAGTCAAGGTTATTCATAATTGCGTGCCTTAAAAAACAACACCTGTAGATCAGTATATACTAAATACTAGTGCTCTAGACCCTGTGGAACTTGAAAAGAAGATTGTTTAACACTGGTACCCTATATTGTACATTTCAACAATGATTTAAACTTTGACCCCTTACGGAAACCGGAAGTTGACATTTTTCCTGATCACAGTATATGGGAAAGTATCATATCTAAAACATATCCAAAGATGAACTTTGTATCTTGAAACGTTAAAGAGAAATAACTACATAATAACGAAGAAATACACTTTTTAAAGGTTCAAACATATTTGACCCCTGTGACCTTGAATGTCGGTCAAGGTTATTCATATTTGCAAGCCTTATAATGTAACATCTGATGATCAATATATTTCAAATATTAGTTCTCTAGACCCTGTGGAACTTGAGAAGAAGATTGTTGAACATTGGTCCCCTATTTATATATTTTAACTTTGAACCTTAACGGAAACAGGAAGTTGACATTTTTCCTGATCACAATATATGAGAAAGTTTCTTTGTTTGTTCATCTCTACAACATATCCAAAGACGAACTTTGTATCTTGAAACGTTAAGGAGATATAACTACATAATAACGAAGAAATACACTTTTTAAAGGTTCAAACATTTTGACCTCTGTGACCTTGAGTGTAGGTCAAGGATGTTCATATTTGCAAGCTTATTATGTACCATCTGTTGATCAACATATACCAAATATTAGTTCTCAATACCTTGTGGAACTTGACAAGAAAATTGTTAAACACTGGTACTCTATTTTGTATATTTGAACTTTGACCCCTTTCGGAAACCGGAAATTGACATTTTTCCTGATAACAAATCTACGAGAAAGTTTCTTCGTTTGTTAATATCTATAACATATCCAAAGACGAACTTTCTATTTTTAAACGTTAAGGAGATATTACATCAAAAAAAAATTAAACCATTTTTAAGGTTAAAATATATTTGACCCCTGTGACCTTGAACATAATGGTGTGAGGCTGTAGTATATAGTGTGGAGGACGGGAGGCACTGAGCTTGTGCGGACACGGATTTTGAGGTCCTGTAAGTAATAGGTATTGACCCTATTCCCATTGTTCTACATCGCTACAATTTGGCATGTGTACGTCTCATAGTTTGTACTTTCATGCAATGCATATATTTTGATCAAAATCATTTTTGTTCTAAAGAACTTTGAAAATTGATCTTTTGCTTTGTGTATATTTCCCATTCCAAGAGTGGGCAATGGCGCGTGACAGTGGTACTCACTGGACATTACAATAGGCGTTTACAGGTGTTGCCAGTACAGGTAAGCCTATACCTGGCTATCATTGTTGGGGCTCCACAGGGGTGAACTTTGAGTATACATGAACTGTGCTGTTTTACGTATACGTTACTATGGATTCGAGCCAATTGTTTTCTAATGACTCTTTCGGGTCTGTTGATGCAACGCTACCAGATCTGACACCTGATGCTAATGGCTTAGGTAACAGTGACATTGACTTCTCAGTTTTGAATTCCCTTCCAAAAGATGCATATGTGACCAAACTATTGAAAATAACTAACATGTCTGAATCGAAGCTGCAATGGTACCGTTCAGATTTATACGACCGTGCAAGTAAGATACATGGCTGTCCTATTGGAAGGCTAGTGACAAGAAAGTCTACCACAAAAAGTACTGCTGAATGTAAGTACGCCCGCGATTGCTATCAACTCGAACAGTTCATAGCTGGGGACACAGATGTTTGTTTAAGTGATGTAGTTTCCCTTAAATCACGGAATCCTCCCGATTTCCAACAAGTTAACGTCGCACACGCTCCTTCGCTCGATATCGAGTCGATACTGCTGGAGATTGCTAAACTTGTGAAGAACGTTCATGAAATAAGAGACAGTATTAGACTGATAAAGGAAGATAACTCTAAACTTAAATCAGATGTTGCTGACATTAAACGAGAACTTAAAATGTCGTGTGATACAGTCGACAAAATCTTCGTCAATGAAATCTCGAATGGTTCCCCACCAAAGAATTTCAATGACCGTATTCACCTACTTTCTTCGAAAATGGTGTCTATTGACAAATTTCGGTCCAACATTTTATCCCAAGTCAGTACACTTGAGGAGTCGGTTCGCTCCAGCCTCCAGAGCTCCGAGGAACTCTTTGTGAACTCTATGGCGGAGTCTCGCTTGAGAACGGATTCCATTATTCGCGATTTTGGACAGGAAATAGGCAACTTATCTTCACATTCGCCTGATTCGTCCCCATCTATATCGGCACCTCAATCACCTGCTTGTCCATCATCTTCGTCATGCTCCTATGCAAAGGTGTGTTCTGCTGATATTTTGTCTGTGCCACCAGTCCCCGCTGGTCCGTCTGATCAACTTGTCACTATTATTCCAAAACACTCTAAGGAAATTCAGTCCGATAAGCATACCGTTACTAGAAATCAACGTACTGCGCCGGATAATCATGCTCCCCAGCCTAAGCTTATTCTGTCTAAGGATTCATATTCACGGAGTGATGACAATGCTAGCGGTTTTGTTGCTGTTTCTATGAGAAAGACCACACGTCTGTTTCTGAGTGGTATGTCCTCCGGTTGTACAGCCGATGATATCCGTTCTTATCTCGAGCAAAGGAACGTGGCTGCTACTTTTGTCCGTATCCTCAAAAGCAGGAACTCTGATTCCGTCTCTAGTCGTGTAAATATTCTTTCGTCCG